TTTACTTTCTTACTTCTCTCTCTCTCTCTCTCTCTCTCTCTCTCTCTCTCTCTCTCTCTCTCTCTCGTTATTCCATCCACCTTCCACGTTACTCCGATTTCAAAAGTGGCGCTCCTTATTTGCAACGAATGTACCCTCCCCCCTCCCTCCTCCCTCCACCCCACCAACGAAAGCTCGCACAAAGAAAGGGCGTACATTATTACGGGTAATGCATAACCCGTCCATTCGGCCCGCTCTTTAAAGTTTCAGATAAACGACGACGAGTGGCTCATAATCCGACAGCGTGTCGCGCCTATCGTAGCAAGCTCGAAAGATAAATAGAAGCCGAGGGACCGCCTCTGGGATCATTACGTTCTCCCTCGCACAGGTGTTCAACGGCGTAGCTTGGATACGCATCGGGGAGGAGGAGACAATGGCGGCGGAGATACGGCAACACTGTCGCGCAGCAAACGAATTCGAATTCGTCGCGCGAAACGACGACGGGCAAAATTGTAATTTACGTTTTCGAAGGAGACTCGAGACGATTGGTTTCGTTGCCTCTCCCCGCTAAGAGTTGTCTCGTTCGAATATTGGAAATCGCGAATTGTTCGCCCATCCTCCTCCTCCTCGAGCCGAATCTCGGCTCTAATTGATCGGGACTAAAATCTCGGGAATCGATCGAATCCGACGAGATACACCCGGGCTGGCGGAGCGTATTGTCCCGAGAGTCCGCCTCCTAATTGAGATCCGATCTAAACGCTCGGGTATTTTGATCGACCGATCTCGCTCGACTCGGTGGATAATTGTTACCGACTCGGATCTTATCGATTGTTCCGGCGCCCGTCCTCGCGCATTGTCCCCCGAAAATTTCCATCGTTCCTTTGTTCCTTGCGGATCGGGATCGCTGTTCGCGCGACGTTAATCCAACGTGTCCCGCGTAACTCGAGGAGGATCGAAGGAAAGGAAGGAGCGAGAAGAAGAACGGATACATCGAGCAAATTATCGATCGGATATCCGTGTAAATTTCCGAGGAGGGATAATTTCTCTCGGAAGCATTTTGCATTTCTCCCGTACCTGTGTCTAACCGGATTCGGAAGTGAATATGCCAATTATGCGTCGGTGGTTGAGCGTGGCGATACCTGGCCGGCGAAATGTTCCGATATCGATCGCTTTATTCGTGCAAAGTTACGCGGGCACACGCGGCGATCGAAACCGAACTCTCTCCCGAAAACCATCGATATAAAAAGCATCGTCCTTTTGGAAAGAATTACACGAGTTCATTGCGTTTCAATTTAAATCGTTTCGTCGTAATTATTTTCATTAATGATAGAAGCGAAGGGGGAGAAGATTTTCGATAAACCACTTTCCCTCGATTTCACGAGAGCCGAGAGAATCCCAGGAATTTAACATTCGCCACAAATTTTCCTCGATATCGATCTCTTCTCTTCGTTTTTTTGACGAATTCGAAGGAAGAAGTATCTAAATAACGATGGGAGAGGGCAAAAGATACTTCGATACTTTTTTTTGGGGGGGGGGAGGAGGGATTATAATAAAATAACAAAGCGTGGAAATCAGACGGGGGAAGAGGATCCATCCAAGGATCCTTCCGAAGATCGAAATAAGTCGGATAGGGGTAACGGAGGTATCCCATTAAACCCGTGGGGTAAGATTCAACGATGTGAAGAATATCTGAAAGAGGAGGGGGAGGAGGAGGGGGAGGTTGAATTTCAATAGATAATGAATCCGTGAAAAGGAAAAACCATAAGGACAATTCCGATCCACTTTGCGCGATTCAATCTTTCGAACAACTATTTAAAACGTCGAGCACCCCCTTTTCGAACGTTCTCGCATTGGTTCTCGATGTTCGACATCCTGATTGAAAAGGAGAACGAACGAACGAACGAACGAACGAACGAACGAACGAATGGACGCGGTATCGTTAAAAGATCTTATTGTTAACGCGTTTCAATCTCTTGATATTTGTTTTAATTGGGAATTAATTAATTGTTCGAAAGTGGTGAAAGGATGGAAAAAAAAAAAGACAGAGTTTTAAGACGGAGTATTTTTTCAATCGACAAACGCGGATAGATATTAATCGTTTACGCGGATTATATTTTGCATTATTGTCGAAAAATCCAATAATAATAATAATAATAATAATAATAATAACAATGATGATGTCGCCGAGCGTTATAACGAAAGAAATGTTGTATTAAATTCCTAAGTAATATTGGAATTTGGTAATTTCCATCGACTAATGGATACAAATATTTCGAGTTGAATCTCAGATATTTCAAAATGTCGAATATGACAGTAAAATAATTTCATCTCCATTTTGTCCGTACGTATATATGTAAACCATATTTAAATAATTAAATCTACGATATTACGAATGCAATGCGCAATGAAAATAAATTTTCCACCCAAAAAGTACGCGAAATATTTTTAATACGTGCTTCTCCTTCCTTTTT